ATTGTAAATGTTGAAAATGTTTAGTAATTCTAATTTTAATTGTTATCATGTTTGCCACCGAGCATTAAATCAAAGCGAACTTTAATAAATCTATCTAATCTATCTACTTGTATCTGTGTTACAAAATTGCAGTGCAGTACTTCGGGCAAGATCGGTCGGGGAATATTAAGTTAGGGGAAAACTTTACGAATTTACTTTAGGCTCTAGTGTTTTTCAAAGGCAGACTGGTGTACGGACGGACGGACGTACTGACATTTTGAAAAAAATGGCTCTTTCAGTATTAAAGAATCAAAAAATGTGGATTCTGACTACACTACATACCAGAGAAAGCAACATATGTATTGCTGCCCGTAGTAAGCCCGTGCATGGGCCATGGCCTACCAGAAGCTTCCCGACGTTGCGGCCACGGGTTATCTGCTCTTTTCCACTTGCGAAATGACTTCATTTGCTCATTGTCACACAATATGTACTGGAACATTGAAAGGAAAACGCACACTATAATCTTGTCTGACCGGGAATCGAACTCGCGGTCCCGTCATGGAAGTCGAGCACGCTGGTCAACAAGCTCAGCTGCCAGGCAATTACAACATATATGAGTAAGAATATCCTCTTTTACGGACCCTGCTAAAAAACATTTTCTTTCAAAAATGGCACATTTTGCCACGGCAGTACGTAACTATGTTTACTACGTTCATTACTCCTTATATACGTACAGTAAGGTTACGAGAAAGTAAAAATATCTCTATTTTCAATTCTGTAGGCACATAATAAATTTTTAACATTGCCATTTTCATATATTTCGAAAAATCCGTGAAAACTAGTTATGTCCCATTGTGATAAATGTGTTTGGATTCCGAGAAAAAAAATTAAAATTTGGATCAATTTGTGAGAAAATTTGAAAATGTTAAGATTTTGTGTTTAGAAATCTCCGAAATCAAAATTTAAATTCAAGTAGCCGCAATATCAGCCAGATCGATCGGAGAAAATCGATTTTAGTTAATATCCAGGCTACGATTCAGCCCCTAAAGTCATTGACATACTGACAGACAAGCGGAGAGCTGTTTTGTCATACACCAATTTTTCAGTACCAAAGAATCAGAAACGTGGATTCTTATTCTTATCTTCTCAAATTATTAGAGGATGTAATTTACAACCTATTAAAACACAGTTTATTCTTTTTTCTCGGTACCAGGGAATCACAGTACAGATTTTTTCTGTAAAAAATCGCCAAAACATTACAATATGTTCTCTATACTACGTATGTAATATGCAAAAAAGAAATAATACTAGAAAAGAAAACGAACTACTCAAAACATCACAAGAATAAAAGTTTAGAATCAGAGATTAATTTTTTATAACTTTTTCATGAAATATGCTGAAAAAACAGAAACAGTTTCAGAGGTGTATCGGAAGATGTACATGATGTAGTAGTTTTAGCAGGAAATGATTCAGATAAGACTACTTCATGTAGATTATACAAAACGATAATCCGTATTTCCATCCCAGAAGATTAAGTGCCTCTTTTTGAGCAAGTTAGCTTGCAAAGAGAAAAGTAACTAGTGCGGTCTATTCTGTTTTTGTTTTTTTCAAGGCCTCTATTATCACTGACGGCGAGAGTCACGCCGCAGCCAGGGGAAGCGGAGCGGGTCGTGCGGGGCGGTGGAGAGGCGGGGGCGGTGACGCCCCCCGAGTCGCTTGAACTACGGCCCGGACGCCGCCCCTGCGGCACGCGCTCAGCCTGCGCGCGTGGCCCGGGTTCGCAACCCGCCAGGTCAGCAATGGTGCGTGAGAACATGCCGTCCTCCCCTTCCATTCGATGCGTGGTGCCTGCGATACCCGTTGTCACGCGACCACTCACTCGCCTTTACGAATACTATAAATTACGAATAGATGGTCGGGGGATGCACCCAGCAACTGCTTTGAACGGACACCAATGTATGACGTTGAAGTATATCACTATCACACGCCTTAAAGGCGCCTTCTCACGCCGCCACTGCAGCTCGCGTTCATCAATCGGCAGGACTCTTCGCCGACCCTCCGGCGACGTCGAACAAAGGGACCGAAGCGGGTAAAACGCAGCGACCGGCAGCCGCAGTGGGAAGGCTACCATTTAAAGCTGTGTTCTGCTAGCAGTGACGCGTACCCCCTCCTCCGCTTCGCGTAGCGAGAGTCTTGTTGGAAGCGCGCTGCCGTCGCGACGTGGGAAGGCGCTCTAAGAGCTGGAGGACGTGAATGAGGAAGAAGCAAAGATAATCCTATGAAAACGGTTGGGCGAGGCAGAGCGCGGAGAGGGGAGGTGGGACGTGGAGAGATCATTTTGTGTGAAGAGAAGAGGCGAAGCGATCTGCAGCGTGTGGAACGAGGCAGGAGAGTTAAGTGAGAGGGTTCCATCAACTCCACAAAGCCCTCACGCAAAGGCGGGTCGTCGCTCCTTCCGGTGGGGGGCCGCTCCCGCCGCTTGCGCCCGGCGTCCCCACCGCTGGCCACCTTCGCCGCCGGCCTCCCCCGACCCCGGCGGCCCCGGCGGCCACCCACGCTTTTCTCGAAGGGGGCTGGAGCCTCCAACCCTCGAAACGGCACACACACTTGTCCCCGTGTCAGACCTTCAAGCAGAACCACCCCGAGAGACACAAAGGCCGCACCGCCGGCCCAGCACTTTTCCTTTAGCGGTCTCCGCGCTCATGAGCAGATTTCATATTATAACTCAATGCACTTGACGCACGTGAAAACGCTGCTCTCAGCACGTAGATTGGTGAGTTAAGTGCCCTACCTTAACTTCGACTAGTAGCCACTGAACGGGTTGTCGCCGCATGTAGTCGTAGTGAGTGTGCTGTCGGCGGGAACTACATGGCGGTTTGGGTAGACCGTGTTTGCCACACGCCCACACCAGCTGCCAGAGTCCACCTAGGGCCAGGTTAGTGGTCAAGCTGCGGAGCGACGCTTCCCGTAACCGGCGAACTGTGTGGGACGCCTGCATTCCCACTTCGCCTGGAAGAGGAGCACCGCTGAGGTTCACGCATGCCGCAGCGACCCAGTACAAGGTATTCGGCAACGCCGTGTAACCATGAAAGTGTGTTGTACGGCTTGATCAACCTTCACGACGTCTCCTTCACGGTGACGGGTTCTCGTCAATCATAGAAGTACTGTACAGTCAGCCATTTTGTATAATTCATTTCATTTCTGAATAATCAGTATATTTCATTTGTTTCTGTCATATGTCATCCCATCAAAGTAGTGTAGAAATTTAGTCTTAATAAAAAGTCTTGCAATGCAATTGCATTGCAAGACTTTTTATTAAGACTAAATTTTCATTGCAATGCAATTCTCTTAATTTTGTCAACTTCCGCTTCCTCCCTTTATCAGCATCCTCCCTCGCACCCGCCCCCCCGGGCACCGGTGCGGCGTAAAATTTACTTTGCATAGAGAAGGGCCTTTCATCAGCTCACGCACCCCCTGCGCCTTCTCTGCACAGAGAGAAAGAGTGTGCGGGGGGGGAGAGCCCTGAGCGCAGTGCTCAGAAAGTTGCTGGAGTCCTGACACTGTGCGCGTCGTATCGCCGACCTAGACCACGCCCCTGCCCCAGACCGCAAGGCCGCTTCTTGTTCTTCCCGCTTGCGCGTGCCATTTCTGACGCAGTTGTCTTTCATGAGGCACACGTAAGCTTCCGCGGCTCGAATCCATAAATTCTCGGCTATCCGGGAGACGCCGCGTCGTTGGCTGAGAGGCCAACGTTTCGCCTGACATGTCGCAGGCTTCCTCAGGGCAGTCACTGATTTTATAACAGATTATCACTGAAATTATAATTTAAATTATATCTATCAGTTTATAAACCGCAAGTGAATCCCTGATAGCAAAAATGTGTTGTTTCAGACTTTCTTTTTAGTACAGATTTTCAAGTTTTTAACCTTTTTTATTGCCTAGTTTTATCAGCTACTATTTTTGTTACATTTAACTTAATGTTACATATTTTATGAAATCAACGGTAATGTGAAGTGCAATAGAAAGTTTGCAAATCGTTTTCACAAATCTTCAATGTTTCGAATGCTAATTGCACAAACACTTGCACTGACTTGCGGGATGTCAACTTCACAAGCAAACTTCACAACAACTTCACAACAATTGACGCTTAAACGGATAGGGATACGCTGTGCCGCACGGCTGTGTGTGCCCCGCTTCTAGGAGTTCGCAGCGCCTCATAAAACAACCTATTCGACCTACGAATGCAGTGGTAGGTGGTTTGTGTGAAACCGATAGCCAACATTTTTCTGATTTTAGAAATAGTCTTTAATTAGGCAAACATCTACCTACAAATTCTAATAATTATCTGTCTACAAATTTTTGGAACAAATTATTTCAAGAAGCAATTTTTACAATCAACCTGTGCAAATAGGGAATCTGATAACAGGTTAAAATAATGTTCCTTAAATACGCCTCCTTAGTTATGTCGAAAAAAAGTTTCATTGCACTATTGATCTTGAGTACAATAAATAACACGAACTTCTTTTACATATTTTTCTCAATATAATTCAAACATATTCCCTCTGTTTAAATGCGTACGTGTTTTTATATTGTTTACTGATCATGTTTAAGTCATATATTTGAATTAACATATTTTTCAACAAATTTATTATTTCCAATCTTCCTTGCCACACATACAATGGCAGTTAATCCAAATACGAACGAAACAACGAAATAAGAACGCAATAAGCTAACTTCAGATATATCTTTGAGAAGAAAATTGAATTAACCGACAAAGAATATAGTGCTGTAAATTCTGAGTGTCAAATAACTTTCCCCCCTGTGATTAATTAATTAACAGAGACTCCTATGGAATATTTTTATTCATTAAAATAAATGCGCTTTTTTAAAAGTCATTTACTATGAGATCCAACGATAAAAAAATCTTATCTAAGTAAATGTACAAGCTTAACGATCAGTAATTTACACAAAATGATTAGTAATTACGTATTACACACGCGTTCTGGTGTATAGCACAGGGCATAACAGGGCGAGAGTCAACAAACTGTCTTCCTTGGTAATAATTGTGTGTGATTCGTGTGGCGGGGTAATAGATAGATACATTTATTATTTCTGCAGGTAGGTATACAACCTGGTGGCAGAACACTACAATTTACATATTACAACTA